AAGGGACCAAGGTTGACCGTGAAGACGTGGCATGTCTTGCAGCCTTGGTTGCTCAGTTCTGGTCGTCTCAAACGCGGACTGGTCTTCAAGTCTTCTCAAGCCTCCACTCGTGCAACGAGCCGAAGGGTCTCGGACAGTCGGGCTGGAAGCCGGTTGCCATGACGAACCTGCCCTTCCAGCTTTTGGGAATTTAAGTAATTGTTGAATAATGACATAGTCAGGCCAGTTCGCTGATGGTTTAATTTTCCCACAAGCAGATGATTATGTCTGCAACTCAGCTTTTGTTTTTACGCAACCTATTCTCCCGAATAGCTATCAGATCCATGCTGAACTGGTTTCGTCCTAGCAGCTTCAGTAGGATTCTGTACCGGGTCGCGAATGGAAACATCACAATATGAAAATCGACAGTCCTTTACTCATTTTGACAGAGCCAAGCTGACAAAATGCCTATTCAAAAATTATTCATGATTTTGAGTACTACTTAAATCGAAATTAAGTAACGTCGTTGATCCCATTGGCAAATAGAAATTTGCACTTGCTAAAAACACATTGTAAATGACATTTGGACGAAGCCTGGCCTGTTTTGAAGCATGAGTGTGCTCATGGCTCTGTTGTCACGATGCCCATGCCACTGGATCCAACAGCCTCTACAGGCATTTGCGTATTCCGCTGATCTTCTTCGAATGAGGCCATTAGTCTCTTCAGCAGAAGACTGAACATCAAACTTTCGGGGGGTGAGGGCACGAATTATTTTTTCTACTTGGTTTTTCTTTATACCAGGTAACGAAGCAAACACAATTTTATTGAAATTAATACTAAAATTGTTTGTTATCCCACCAACTTTGCTGTTACCGCATTCCTTATATCGGGATTTGACTTGTATTATGTAACTTCATGCGTTGGATAGAAGGTGGGATATTTCTCTAAAGACGGGCACAAGTGAAGAAAGCGTCAATTTTTTCCTTGAAACCTATTGTGATTTGCTATGCCATTAACGTCGCGGCATTACTTTGGAATGATGACATAAAAGTAATGCTAGTGCCTAATCTCTCGTTGTTGGGGGACTTTCATCTTGTATGAAAGTGCATGAAGAAAAGATTCGTAGGTCGATCTCACCAGAAGAGGACGGATGAATCGCGTTGCACTGCAACTGTTTGGCTTTGATACAACCTTCATGTTGACGCTGCCCGTCCTCTTATGGTGAGATCGACTTACCAATCTCTTCTTCATGCACTTTCCTGCGAAACAATGTTATCTCAGAAGATTCCTCGAAACCCAGTTTCTCTTCGTATCTACTCTCTTAATCAGCCCGAAAATAGTCGTTATCCATAATTATATTCTTCATTAATTCGATGTTATTTCTAAACAAACCCATTTTTCCGCTCAATGATGTTTCTAATTTCACTCAAATTCACCGAAAATATTACATTAAGCTCTTCAAATTAACCAGACATGTCAGATTACGCAACCCCAGTCTTGCTTTTTCTTGTAGGGTTAAACGATAATGACCCTTGATCGAAAGGTTAGGACTAATGGCTTCATTACTTGATTAAAATGCTTAAAAACTCATATTTCATTATCCAAACCATACTTATCTACGCACTTAAACAGTCTCAGGCAAAGATTTTCTCTTGAATTATTAGGTCTTAAGGATCAG